GTTGATGCCAGAGGTACTGTAACAGGAAAGTGGCCAGACTGGTTTGAAAGGCAACAGTAACTCAAAAAACCACTCAATACAACCGAAGTATGCAGAAGAGCATCTCTGAATGCACAACACGTCGAACCTTGAGGTGGATGGGCTAAAGCAGCAGAAGACCACTCCAGTTGCCACTCCTGTCAGTTAAGAACAGGAAATTGAGGCTACAACTTGCACAGACTCATCAAAATTGGACAATAGAAGATTGGGAAAAACGTTGCCTAATCTGATGAGTCTCAATTTCTGCTGTGAAAATTCCACGGTAAGGTCAGGACTTGGCATCAACAGCATGAAAGCATGGATCCATCCTGCCTTGTATCAACGATTCAGGCTGGTGGTGTAATGGTGTGGGGGATTTTCTTGGCAGACTTTGGGCCCATTATTACCAATTGAGCATCATGTCAACTCCACAGCCTACCTGAGTATTGTTGCTGACCATGTCCATCCATTTATGACGACAGTGTACCCATCTTTTAATGGCTACTTCCAGCAGAATGACACACCATGTCATAGAGCACAAATCATCTCAGACTGGTTTCTTGAACATGACAATGAGTTCACTCACTGTACTCAAATGGCCTCCACAGCCACCAGTAGTAAATCCAATAGAGCATCTTTGGGACAGGAGCTTCGCATCATAGATGTGCAGCTGACAAATCTGCAGCAACTATGTGATGCTATCATGTCAATATGGACCAAAATCTCTGAGGAATATTTCCAGTTCCTTGTTGAATCTATGCCAAATAGGATTAAGGCAGTTATGTAGGTAAATAAGGGTCCAGCCTGGTACTAGTAAGGTGTACCTAATAAAGTGGCCGGTGAGTGTAGATGCGCACTCTTTAACCATAGACTAGTCTAAACATACAACTTCAAACAACAAACTTAACCATCATTTTAACTTTTTTGGGAACGCCTCAACATCCGTGCTGAATTCATTCTTCATTTAATCTTTTTTCTGCAACAGTAAAATAACAGAATCAGATATGAAGTGAATCATTTATGATTGTAGATTCACTGAATACTGTAGGTCAGTTACATCATTGTGAGTAATGCAAAAAAATCCTTAAAACTACCGACTGACTCCAAGAAACCATGACAGCAGAAAGTGTTAGCAGCGGCAGTTAATCTCAAATGATGCCCATCTCCTTAAATACACAGCCCATTCCTCAAGCAAGCTTGTAGAGAGTGCGCTTTTTCTTTTTTCTTCTCTTTTTTTTTTTTTTTTTTGGCTGTATATGAGGCAAAGAGGCTATATTTGGACACAGTGGATAACAGGGAAAATGCATCTCAGTGAAAGAAGCCCAGCTGGATGATTCTGTAGAGTATGGAGATTTGGAGTAGAAATTTCTTTTCTTTTCAAGGAAGAAAATCTCGGTGGAACTGAAAGTCCAAGCTATACCTATAGCTATAAATCATACCTGTCTTAAGTTTCTGGTTTATAAGGTCTTGAGACAGACTAAGTGGAAACTTTGGTTTCTTTGCTTTCTCAACTTTCTTTTTTTCTTCTTCTTCTTTTTGTAGCTCTAAACACAAAATCTCTATCCATCCCATTTATTCCCCAGTTATAATTGTTTTCCATTTAATTGCACAACAAAGATACACTAGAAACAAAGCTGTTTTGCATTTTTGCCACTAGCTAATTCAGTAGTACCGCTGTATGAGATGGAATCGCAGATGCAACATAGTCAATATATGTTTTTAATATATTTGATTGCCACGGGTTTAGGTCAAATGAGACTATTTTACTTTGCACTAAATATAATGGATTTAGACAATAACACTCTTCAAGCACATTACCAACAATTACACTTAATACACTATACACTTATTGAGTTAAATCAGTAAGAACGAGAGTACAATCTGCTGATATGCTCAGCCCTTGAGGGGGTGATCATCCTTAACACTTCAACATTAAGGCACTCGTGCATGTCTGTTTTCAGCATCTTAAACCTAATGGAAAAACATAGTTTTAATCATCTTCTCTAGTTGAATGTTTGGATTGCAGAAACGTGGTCTAAGTGGAACAGTAACACCCTACAAGCATTTTCCCTTTTCTTTACTCCAGGCCACTGCCATTAAAACTGCTGCAGTATATAAAATGTCTTTTTCAAGGGTTTCAGCATTTTTGGTCTGGTAAAATAAATATAGATGAGCAAGACGTTGTTTTTCCTAAAGCTATTTTTGATTCTATGTGGAGTATGTCTAGCTATAGATTTGTTATAGATACGATATTGGAAAAATCTAACATTGCAATATTTTTTATATTGCAATATATTGCGATATGAATACAATTTCACCAGATGACCATATCTCTTTTTGGAATGAATTTAAGACGTTAGATCAATTGGGATGATTCTGCCATGGGAGTGCATCTCCATAAAATCTAATAAACAATCTATAAAATTTGTGGGGTCCCCCAACACATTTTCATTGTGGTCTGTGCTATTTGCTGTCCATTTCTCTATTTGCATGTTGTTATTGTTTTCATAGATAACAATCTATAAATACAATCAAGAAAAAGATACAATTGAAATAACGTGTTTTATCATTTCCCGAGTCTAACAGCATTCAAGTACAGTAGTTGAATGATAAAAATAATTCAATAAAATCTATTCATATTTAAGGTCATAAGAGATGTTTTTAATGTTTTTAAAATCATTATACAATTACAGGCATCAAAAACACATGCAAATGATAAATTATAATACAAACTAAACACTGCATATCCTGCAATGTGACTATCGCGAAGGACCACCTTGCAATATCAATGCTGAAACAATATATTGCACAGCCCGAGTATAGATTATCTAGTGAAGCAGGCTACTGAGATATTGCATGCTCATATACTTTATTTAAATTTTTATGTATTTACATTTGTTTTAAATGGTTGTTTTCAGCTGGTTATTTTAACTCTCAAAACCCATTTAAGTCCATTTTGACCCAGAAGGGATATAAAATTACATGCATAAATTTTTTTAGTTGGGTAAAATAACATTAAAAGTTTAACAATTATTAAATTTATTTAAAAATGTTATATATTTCCTCTTTTGGCCAGTTTGGATCTAGCATGTAAGAATAATTCAACATTTATTTTATTATCATAAGCATTTTTACCCATATCTCACACACTTTTGGCACTGAATTTTCATGATAAGTATGCATACTGACAAAACATAATAATGATAATAATACTACTAATCTATAAAAAATAAATACATAAATAATTTATAATAATACATAATAATAGTTTTTTTGTACTTTCTTGTGGTTTATGTTAGGGGTGCATGATTTACCGGTACTTTGGTAGTATTGTGATACTATGACTCCAAAATTCTGCCGGTGCCACTGTTTGTAAATGGTAGTATTGTCATTAATGGTTTATCTATAATCGATAATGTTGCATGTGGAAAAGTCACAAAAATGCTAGCAAGTTTGTGCAACAATAAACCATTTTATTTTAATAGTGTGTGGAGCCATTTAAGGTTGCAAAACTGCAGCCTGTTGCACGCTTTGTGGTAGCCTATTGCATGTTTTCTAACACTTCAGTTCAAACGCACATTTTAATCAGTTAATTTCTGTTCCTGTTAATATGATTTAGTAGCTACAACAACCACGACAATCTCTTTAAAAGAACGACTCACAAAGTGAAATTTTGAATTACTTTGGATTGTTAGCTGATAATACCCAAAATAGCAACAGGAAACAATTGGAACAATTTTTGACCACTTCATATAGCCTAATTTTGTAGGGGAAAAATCTTCTTTTGTAACAAATTTCATTCTGTATAATTTGTATCTTTTGTTGGTCAGTTATCTACAAAATAAACAAAAAGAATGAATACATTTTAGGTGAAGTGTAACAAAAATACGTGAAATAATACTTTCTGGCCTTAAGGGAATTATGAATTACATTCAGGTAGACCTATTATAACATAACATGTAGTATTTCTGACCATTTTCATTATAATTTGAGCTATAAATTAGGGTATCGCAATACTACATGGTATCGTGAGACTTCAGCTGGTATAGTATCGTAAGATTCATTAATGGAATCGCAACAGTTCGTGTGTATTATTACAGAACATTTCAAAGAAGTTTAAAAACTATTAATAAAAAAGAGCAAATACATAGTTTAAAATATGGCGACAAATTGACATTTTTCACAGTGCCTTCGTTAATTAATTGTCTTGTTCTTCTGATATTATATAACTTTTTCTTTAAAAACTCCAAAACTGATAAAACTATGAATGCTTCAAGCAATTTTGAATCCACCATGATGGCTAAATTACACTACAGCTGTCAAATAACTTTTTAAAGCACAGAATTACAGTTTCTCAATCAATTATGAGTATGCTGTCTATTTCTGCTATAATTACATTTTTTAAATCTAACATTAACAACAGGATTTGTCAACTTTCCAAAAGTATTTTCTATTAAATGACCTACAGCTAAATGCATTTTGTCTACAAATAAGTACAGAACTTACTCCCCCTAAAACCTTCTCCGGACAAGCACATACCACTTGCCCTGTCGCCTGGATACCTATCAACCCCCAAAGTCTGCTATGCACAACCTACTGACTTAGAAAGCAACCTGATTTACAAGGTCGCCATAAAGCGGAGCGTGCAGTATCATCACCGTCCTCGATCTTTGATAACAACCATTATTAAATCTGACAACTCTGATGACCATGTCGAGGATTTACAGTCTAAAAATAATCCTCAACAACCCATCGCACAAAAAATGTAACACAAAAGCACACTTTGTTCTCATTTATTGCTGCGGCACGAGTCCCGCACTATCGAGCATCTCTCGTAAAATGACCTAATGCCTTTCGACGCAAAACACAGCTGCAACACGCCAAACTACCGCAACATTTTCGGGTTCGCGAAAACAATTCATTCAGTCCTAAGTTTAGTTTTCCAGAGAAGCTTTGAGGAGGAGTGTGCGCATTTGTCTTACCGTCTTCATCCATAGTTAAAATCCTGAGGGTGCTGATAATATCTCGTGTGTCGGTTTAGAGATTATGTGGTCTCCATCTGATTTTGGATGCTGCATCAAACTCCTCAAGTATTGTTGTTCGCCCACGGCTCTCGGGGGCGTAATGAGACAAGACGAGGGGGTGTGACCGCATCCCTCACGCGTTGCGTTTCTGAGAGATGCTTGCGGACTGCGCATGCGTGCAACGCGGGGTGCGCGCTTGAACCCTGCCTGCGCGCTCGCGTGTGTTTGCGATGCGCACGAGTCTCATGCTGGATGGACATATGCGGTGACAGCTCAGAGACGCGGGTTTAATTATGAAGGTGTCATGTCTTGCTGAACGGCGCCAGTAGTTATTCATTTTAAGACGATAGGTGATCCATAGGTTTTTATTCATGTTTATTAATTTTAATAAAGTTAGTGCATGCATTCATTCACTCTTTTATTCATCAGAGATTAGGTATGAATTCAATAACATTGGGTAAAATATAGACAAACCCTTTGATTTTGATTTTTTAATTAAGTTTATGCGAAGTTTATTTTATCCCAGCAGTTTTGTTCAGGTTTGTTCTTTCATTCATATTTAAATATCTATCTATCTATCTATCTATCTATCTATCTATCTATCTATCTATCTATCTATCTATCTATCTATCTATCTATCTATCTATCTATCTATCTATCTATCTATCTATCTATCTATCTATCTATCTATCTATCTATCTATCTATCTATCTGTCTATCTGTCTGTCTGTCTGTCTGACCATCTATCTATCTATCTATCTATCTATCTATCTATCTATCTATCTATCTATCTATCTATCTATCTATCTATCTATCTATCTATCTATCTATCTATCTATCTATCTATCTATCTATCTATCTATCTATCTATCTATCTATCTATCTATCTATCTATCTATCTCTCTGTCTTTCCCCTGTATAAATCATTAGTCCTTAATTATAAATGGGACTTAATTAATTACATTAGTCCTTAATTATATTCTATATATCATAGTGTGAGATCTGCAAAAAAATAATAATAACAATATAATATAATATAATATAATATAATATAAAATAATATAATATAATATAATATAATATAATATAATATAATATAATATAATATAATATAATATATTAACACTGGATGATAGCCAAAGTGAAAACTTTGATTTTGTAAGTCAGCTTTTTTTTTGTTTGTTTGTTTGTTTGTTTCCAGAATCACCCGTTCTATAATAAAGATTTTATTGGACAGCCTAACCTCAGCATTTCCTGCTTTTCTAAGAATAGCGCCCATTGCCCTGTTGCACCTGCCTGTTTATTCAATTAGCTGAAAACATAAGTACAGCTTTAGGGATCAAGTGAGACATGCATGTCATTGATGTCTGCATTAGTGTGATCAATGGCAGATTTTTTGCGCTATTTAATCAATCATAGCATAAAAAGCATGTTCAGTGAGCATGTAACACATAGGGCAAACCAACTAAAATCAGCCGACTAAAATCATGAGGAAAATTAACATGTAGTTTCTATGGGAGCTATGGGAGCCACAAATACAAGTCCAGGCTTGTTGGTGATTTCAATAGCATTATTGTAGCTGTAAATCCAGCTGCTCATTTCCCCCAGAGTGGATCGCTTATTGCTCTGTACCCTGGCTTGTGTACATCCTACAACTGTAAAACGATGGACAGAGTTGTAATTTGGTGAACCATCAAACTGGAACAACTGCATTGCTTCCTAATGCGGTAAAACCTTTCTTTTTTTAGGTTTTCCCAGTCTGTCATAACCGAAATAGTGGAAAACACTGCTGACAGCTGACAGGTTATTGTTTTGTTTCTTGTTATCTGCTTTCTTCCTGGTTTCTATTGTGTCTGTGTACTGACGTTTGACTCAGTGTCTGTCTTTGACTCAGGATTTCTTTCTTCTATCTCTTTGCCTTTTGTTATTCTATAAAAGACAGCCTCATCATTATTCTGTGTTTTGAATATACACAATCTGGAGAAACAGAGAGCGAGCAATAGATAGTAAGATGAAACTGTTCTCTCAAATATGAAAATTTACTATTTACTCTTTCCTTCCAGTGGTTCCAAAACTTTATGACTTTATTTTTTCTACTAAACCCAAAGATGTTTTGAGGATAGCTGGGAAGCTGAAACCATTGACTTTCAGAAAAACGAATGGAAGCAAACTGATGGTGGATTTTGTCATGGATGTCTGCTAGAAACACATATCTTTTCTTATGTATTTATGATTATTAATAAAGTTGAATGTTAAAGAGCTTAGATTATATGATTATATGATATAGTGTCATCTTACTTCATGGAGACTTCTTGAGTGGACCTGGACTGTTGAAGAATTGGAAATATCCGTTTATATTGTTATTTGCTATGTGTTAATTATGTCTAAAGTAATATTTGCCATTTTAAGTGTTAAATCTTTTAATGTTAATTCCTTTGTATGTAAACCAGATGTAGATTCTACCAGGATGTAGATTATACCCTTTTTAAAACAGTTTTGATAAAGATGGCTAAGAGTACATTCAACCTTGGGTAGAAAACGGATTGTTCTTTGAGTGTGTGTGTTTGTTTTATTAGATTGTGGATCCTTTCACAGGTCTAGGGTCAGCTCTGAACAGCCTAGTCAGCCTATTAACCCATATATATATATATATATATATTCACATTGCATCCTTAAAAAGTAACTAACACATTTAATTAATTAATTAATTTTTTTAAGTGACTACAGATTGTAATATATAACTTTTTTCCCAACACTGATTCTAAAACGCCTTAGCCAAAGTCTGTCTTCAAAGTGGTTCGGTATTATTACCTCCCAGAACTGTCTTGAGCAGCTATGATCCCAAAGAATGGTCTCGCCCCTCCAAAAGCCACTGTGTGTTCATTTGATTTAAACTGAGACACAAGTAATTTGTTGAATAAGAAAAAGGCTCAAACTGGCTTCTCTTAACGCAGAAAATCATTTTTTTTCTTTAAGACATTTGAGCCAGTTCAACAGGAAGTTCTCTTTGATTCTGAATAGTAATGGTGCTTTATTAACAAATGTTCAATATTGCAATTTGCATCTTCAGATGGAAACACAGTTACTGATGACACAGTTTTGAGTTTGGGGGAACTACCCCTTTAAAATGATGACACGTAGGGCTGGGATGATAAACAATATTTTATCAAATCACAATAAAATGTATGTTAATAACAATGATAAGCTCTGGACTTTTCTTACTCTAAGTAAAATTTTTGATCTAAGAGCCAAACACAGCAGAAATGTGGAACAATGGGAATCTAAAAGTTTGTTCATATTAGAGATGTACCGAATTTTTAGAACATTTATTGGCTGGAAATATTTTAAGCCATTTAAAGGACCCTTTATTTTTTGTGGCGTCAGTCATCGTTGGGATCCTCTTTTAAATCTGAAAGCATTAACAACTCATATAAAATATATATCGTTATCGATTAATATGGATTGTTGCCATATCACCCAGTCCTATACACTCAAGTGATATAAGAGGTTTAATTTTTGGTTTTAGAGCTTTTTTAGCTAAAATTATACTACTGTGATTATAAAATGCCTGTCAAAGATAGAGACCATTTACATAAAAAAAATACATGCAAAAATAAATGAATTCCACTGGTGATTTGTTGAAGTCTTATTAAGCAAATAGACTGCACTGTGAACACTGTTTATTACATTGTAATTGAAATTTTCCTAATGCGACCGAGGTGTATTGTTGTAGAATGTTATGTGCTGGGTTGCAAAATAAAGATGAGCTTTCATTAGTAAAACTCAATATTCTTAAAACACTAGAGACAGAAGGACCACATAAACCATAATGGAGAAAAGACAAAAGAACAAAGGAAAGAAAATGAGCGAACAAAATGGACAACAAGTGATCTTAATTAGCTCATAAATGACATGCACTACATTTATATTACATGTAATGAAGTATACGTTTTTTTTATAATCAACATAAATAAATAGGTACAAAAAGCTGTATTACAATACAAATAAATTATTTAAAATTCCATTTTAGGGTGAAACATTCCTTAATGTACACTGTCCATTTATTCTTTAAAACAATAATTAAACTACTGCAATGAATCCCATTATTTTGTTAATGTCTAGACACTTTTTATTTGCTCATTTTTTAAATCAATAAAAACATCTTGCTAAGGGTAAATCTCATTGGTTTGAAGGATGGTAGCTAAGTATAAAGATTTAAAATGACAATTCATGTAAATATGCTTTATAATATTTTTTGATACATAAACAGTCACACTGGATGACATTTTATAGTGTATTCTGTAAATCCCAAAAAATAAGTATGAGAGTCATCAGTTTTAATAAGAACAAAAAGTATAAACACATTGTAATGTACAATATAATTACAGCTGCATTAATGCCTGAAAACTTGTGTCACCGACTCGGTCCCAGTCATTCCCCTCGCTGGCCAGAAAAACCTGTTGATTATTGCACCCATCAGATGGGATATTGAGCACGAAATAACGCAGGCTTCAGAGCAAAACCCTACTCCGCAGGCATGTCCCGAGAACAAGACTTATGTGCCTCCCCTGCTCCGTGAACAATTGATCGCTGAAGTTCACAATCACCCCAGCTCTGGTCATCCAGGTAGCACTGCTACAACGCAACTGATCCAGTCTCGTTACTGGTGGACATCCATGAATAAAGATGTAATTGATTTCCTCAACAAATGTTCCCCCTGTCAAATGGCTAAACACTCCCGTCACCGTCCAGCTGGTTTACTACAGCCCTTAGAGATTAGCCGTCGGCCATGGTCTCACATGGTCATCGCCATAGACTTTATAACAGATTTGCCCCAGTCACAGGGAAAGACCACTATTCTCACGGTCGTGGACCGTTTCTCCAAAGCCTGTCGACTCATTGCCATACCCAAGTTACCCACAGCCCTAGAAACCGCAGAGCTCCTCTGTGAGTAAGTCTTTCGCTATTATGGTCTTCCCGAAGACATTGTCTCAGACCGAGGTCCACAATTCACATCTCGACTATGGTCCGCCTTTTTCCAGAACCTCCAAATTAACATCAGTTTGACTTCTGGCTATCACCCTCAGTCTAACGGACAGACAGAACGCCTTAATCAGGAGATCGGTTGCTTTCTTCGCACTTACTGTCACTCCAACCAATCTGACTGGAA